CCAACTTTTCAATTTTGCCCGACTTTTTAACCCCTTTTTCAAACTCCCCAACTTCTTCAGGTTGGTGCGCAATATTTAAATCTAAAATATGCATAAACTAACGATCATCAACAAGAATAAAACATCAACCATGACAAACCCCATTTTTACAGACATAATATAATACTCAAGAATATGCATGGCTTAAAAAAAAATGGTAGCAAATTACTTTTACAATATCATAATACAATTTGTCAATCTTTAGCAAGTAAAATGTCCATACAAAAACTATATACACTACAGAAAAATGTAACTGTATGTAAAGCACTAATTAATGACTTCACACCTTCCTGTTCCCACATCTGGTTCCATCCTGAGTCAGGCCCAAGTCAGGTATATCTTCACTATGTCCTATTGTCACTCTGAAAAACACAGTAATGCCATGCAACACTCTTCAGAAAGGAGCTAAACATTTGATGATAATGTAAAAGCTCAATAGCAAATTAAACTAATGATATTCATAATTAATTTTTAAGAATTGTTAATGGAGAAACACTAATAACTTGATTATCAATACATACAAACAGATTTCACATCTTTAACCAATGTTATTAACTTAGAGGGATTTTAATATAATTTAAAGGTAAATTTCCTTATGGGAAAAAGAAACTTTTAACACAACGGATTGATTTAATTATATATTCTGTGTTCATATATCATTTGTTTTAACATAAACATAAAATGCCTAATTTCCATGAAAACATTTAACCAATAGTCAATACACACAGCCATATCCAAATACTACATACTTCACTCATAGCGTTTATTTCACATCCACAAAATTTGTACATTTTTTGAAGTTTTGATTTTAAACAAACTAAATCCAGTCAAGATCATATGCTAAATACAGCTTGAAATTTTAATTTCATGGGATATTTACATTTTGTCCTACTTTACTTTATATACATGAGGCTGTTCTGTAACTGATTGGTCGTCAGCTATAGAAAGAAAGGTGAATCATGAATGCAATTTTGCTAGTTTTTAAAGGAGACTCTTATCTGTTTGAAGGATTCAAGACTTGCTTGTGAAGTTATCATTTTCCTAAACTGAAAATGTATTTCCAAACATACTTACCTCTGCTGACACTAAAAGCTATTTCTCGATCTTCATCTTTGCCATCTAACATTCTGTTTGCTTGCTTGTCTTTATATGCCCCACTCGACTTCCCTCAGCAACATCTAATTTGCAAAACTTTACGCCAACCCTCCCACTCCCTCTATGCAGGTGCTGTATATAAGCACTGTATGCAGACAATAAAATCACTTTCTTTAGACTTACCACATTCCAGTCAATAACACCGGCTCTCAGTGGGGAGGACTGGA